CCCCAAAACCCCAAAACCCCAAAACCCCAAAACCCCGCAATCCATAATTTAAGTTGAAACTTAGCTCTCGTTCTTGATTTTGAGAATGGCTGGGATTAATAAGCACACGAAGATGATCCCCATTCCTAAGTAGTCTGTCCACACAAAGCTGTATTTGAAAATGAAGAAGTCGGCCAACAGAGCGAACACATTTTCGAGATAGTTCACTGGAGCTAGATGGGAGGACTTTTGGTACATCAGAGCCATGGCAAGTGCTGGTAAACAGATTGTATATCCCAAAGCATTCATAAATAATAGTAAGATATCTAATGCTGAGTAATCAGGGAAGTGGATTTTTCCTGGAATCAGAAAATATATCAGACCACAGAATATTCAAATTCCCACAGAACTATATAAAGGTCTGACCAAGAAATGCACATTGTAAATAGCAAGCATCCTCAGCAACACCATAATCGTACCTTGAATGAATGAGCCTATGAACACCAAGAATATCCCTAGAAATGCACTTGATTCTTCATCTTCAGTTGCACTTGATTTATTCAATGTCAAGAAGTAGATCCCTCCAAACGCACCAAATGTAAAGATAATTGAAGTATAATCAACCTTTTCCCTGAGGATGATAAAGGCCATAATGATACAGAAGAGAGGGTTCAAGTCAAATATCAAAGTACTCTTCGCAATAGATATCATAGCCATGCCACTCATCATTGATGTCATCACTCCAACAGAAGCTAGACAGTTTATAATGATAATCGTCTGTGCTTTATGCTCATACTTCAAGATATTGATTTTGGTACCCACAAATAAATTTAATCCTAAAAACACAGGGACATTGACAAGCCCAATCGCCAAAAGTGCATCATAAGGAGTAAGCTTCTCATTATAAAAGAAAGCCATTTTGGCAAATAAATGTTGCATTGTGAGCCCTAATAACGCAACCATCATCAAAGAGTACCCTATCAACATATTCTGTTGCGGTAAATTCCTTGCAGGATCAGTTGAAACACTCCTCATCAACTCAAAAGAGCTTGATGCTCCTCCACTAGCCCCTCCAAACCTCTTCTCGTTCTCAATAAATCCTTCTTCACATTCCTCAACCACATCAAATCCTTTCACAGTACTCATTTTCTAAAAATACTCAAAATCCTAAAATTCAATATATATAATACAATCCGGGGTTTTGGGGTTTTGGGGTTTTGGGG